GTGTCAGTGTGGTATTCTCTACCTATGCTTATTCAGTCTGTATGGTGAGTAAATTATTCAAAAAGTTCCAAGTAATCTATGAAGAAGAATGTAGCATCAATATCAGAAGAAATTTCATCAATAACTTGTGCTATGCAGATGACATGACCTTGTTTAATGAAAGTGGGGAGGACTTGAAATACTTGTTATAGAAGATAAAAGAATATAGCATTCAATATGGATTGCATCTCAACATCAAGAAAGCAAACATTCTAACCACTGGACTGATAGGCAACATCTTGATACACGGAGAGAAGATTGAAATAATTGATTTCATCTGGCTTGTGTCCACAATCAACCCCAGGAGAAGTGGCAAAGTTTAGCAAGGCAGCAAGTAATAAATGTTAGCGAGGATGTGGCAAGATAGGAACTCATATATTGTTGATGGGACTGTTTAAATGGTACAGTAATTCGGGAAGGCAGTTTGGTGCTTCTTCAAAAAGCTGGACATAGAAATTCCGTATGACCCAGCTATTTCACTGTTTGGAATATGTGTTGTTGTTATGTGCCGTCGAGTCATTTGCGACTCATAACGACCCAATGTACAACAGCCCTAAACCGTGCTCTATCCTGTGTCAATCTCATTGCCTCTGACAAACCCATCCCGAGTACCCCAGTCACCGAATCAATCCACCTCATACAGGGTCTCCCCCTCCTGCGCTGTCCCTCTACTCTCCCCAGCATGATGTCCCTCTCTAAGGACCTGTCTCTCCTTACAACATGTCCAAAGTATGTCAGATGAAGCCCCAGAATCCTTGCCTCCAAGGAGCAGCCTGGTTTAATCCTCTCTACGATGAATCTGTTTGTTTTCTTGGCAGTCCATGGTACATTCAATACTCTTTCGCATTAGCACGATTAAATGTTCTGGGATTCCGGAGAAAATGAGAACTGAGGCAGTTCTTGTCCTTGGAGACTTGTACAACAATGACCATAGCAGCATTATTCACCATAACAAGAATATGGAAACAGCCCAGATGTCCAACCACAATCGAAAGGATTGAGAAATTCATACAATGGAATACTACGCAGCATGCATAAGTAATGATTTTGTAAATTATTACCTAACTTGGGAGGGACTGGAAAGCATTAGGCTGAGTGGTCTCACTCAGTCCCACAAGAAGAAATATTGTATAAAAGTCTTATTGTAGACATCAACAAACGAATGGGTAGAGAAGCTGTGCTATATCCGCACAATGGAATACTATGCTGCATTGAAAAACAAGGAACTCATGAAATATTATTCAAAATGGGTGACCCTGGAGGACTTTATGGTGAGTGAGGTATCTCAGTCACAAAGGGACAAATGCTATATGATGCCACTGTTGTAGAATGAGGCTGGCATTGGGGTGGGGGTAAGGCTGAGAAAA